TTAATGTATTGTATTCATTCATGGTTTTTTTTATTCTACGTGAGAAGCTCCAAAATGACGTTAGTCTTGTATGCGTTAAGAGCCAACATTTCGGAATGATTTGTAAATGGAAAATCAACTAAAGATGGGCGTCCTGTTGGCCCCCATGTGGGAGCCAATCCCTCTGAATCATTGAATCTGGTCCCTGAGGTACGGCGCCGCATCCTCACCCCACCTTTAACACGCCCTGAAAAGACAGTGCCATTCCAAGTCAAAATCACCACCTGAGCCATAAAGGGCTGAGACAAGCTACAGCCGTGCTCCCAGAGGAATCGGCAGGGCGATGTCGCGTGCGTACGTGAGCGTGCGCACGTGCTGGTGCGCTTCAGCGGCGTGTTTATTTACAGTGCCAAGACAAGCTCTGGGCAATAGCAGCTTTGGGCCGAAAAGATCAATATGAATGATGGAAAAAAATTAATGCGGGAAGACGCTGTCCTAAGCTGAACCACAACAGCAACAGTTCCCCTCTGAACCCCAATGTACTATCTAAACACACATCACCGTGCCGATATAAGTGATCGCAAATTTGTGGTGCCGCTGCTTTTTTTTCGGCAGGAAGGAATATTTTCAAGCCCAAATCTACAGTACAATGTGTTTTTGAAGTGCAATGCATTTCTCAGAAATGTTTGTTAACTGGTATGAAAATAATTACTTGAAGAGCTTCAAATAGAAATGTACGTTATGATGGCCATGTTCCCGTTTAGAGTCAATTAAGAAATAAAGATAGTTCTGCTTTATATTTTAACTTTTTTTTCCTGCTGTATTTTAAAGCATACTCTTTGGTTCTTTCGGTAAAGTCACGTAGTTGAAAAAGTAAAAAATATATTAAATCACGACGTTTCGGGCGCAACACAAGCGTCCGTCATCAGGCGGGGACAACCACAGCGAAAACTCCTCTCAGAGATGCATAGAGATGAATGTAGAAACACTGAAGGCACATCGAGATGTGTAGTCCTGGAAGATATTTATTATTTCCTTTGCTTATACATTTTTATGTTAAGCCAAGGGCTGTCTGCCCAAAACAAAGGTTAAAAATACCCATACACAGAAATCCACACAGTAAGAGCTAGAAAATGGAAACAATCCACAATGATGATAATACATCATCACTATCTGTCAAGTAAATGTGAAATAACATTTAGTTTTCAAATAATGTAGCATCCCTTGAAATACATTTAAGAGTGCAAACTCTGTATTTTTGTTGTAGTGATTGTAGTGATTATACAATACGAGGGAGTGGGGTGGCTAGCACCACGCCCGGCCGCCTTTGTCTCCCCAGTGGCGATGTTCACTCCACCACACCACTTAATTGTTTGAGGCTGAGTCGACCTAGGGGAAGCCCAGGACCGGTTAAAATAATCGTCACCGGTGGTGGCCGTGAGCAGGAATCGAACTCGGGTCGCCCGGTTCGTAGCGCAGCGGCGCGCTAACCACTACACTACAATGCGTTACGCTTCCACATGCGCGGGTCACGTGACAGATTTGACGTCACAGCTCACTTGCCGTGCAAAAAACTATATGTATTATTGAGCCCCCCCCCCCCCCCCAAAGTGTATTTTTATAATTTTTGCATGGTGTACAGTCTGGAAAGAACCCACATGGCAAATTTCCAGTTTGTTGCATGTCGGGAAGTACGCTAAACATGTTGAACAGACACATAATCACAGCTTAGCCTTATATACATATGGAGATGATGATGAGACCGAGGCATACACCAGCGTTAACTCTGCAAGAACAAGTCTTATTATAATTACCATTTCTTCCAAACTGTCAGATCTAACCCTCTCATTCTACAACAAGGTAACCTGTGGAACATGTTACAGTTGTGGGGTGATGACAATTACCCAATATCTGAAGTTTTTTAGGAAGAGGAGGTTTTGGTGGCTGAGATACGTGCTAGATGCCATATTACATAAACAGGCATTGGAGCAGCCAGTCAGAGGTCAAAGGGAAGACCTAAATCCAGACAGTGGGGTGAGGCTGTAAGAATGCACCATGGAGGTTGGGTTTTAATCATACAACATTTTCAGGATATGCCATTCGAAAGTGATGGTGAGGTGTGGTAGTATTGAGCGCACTGGCCACGATAATTCTTTAACCTGTGTGTCTTTTGGCACATTAAGCCTACCTCGTGGTCATGAAAATATAATAGGGTGACCAATGCTCTACAGGGGAATGGCATTTTTAACATACAATTTATATGACAGGATCGTGGTTGCCACATGACTTGACCATGATAATTATCAATTGGCTAAAATTAAACATTTTCTGCACCCCTGTCTTCTTGCGAAAACAATTCCCAACCCTCACTCTCCTCCAAAGCTTAAGTTTCACTCACAACTTGTGACGGGCACACCACCGACAGCACAGCCATCTCAACTGGTGTCGTCATCGACCTGGATTTATTTACAATATTCGCAAACAAAAGACAAATCACCAGAGCCATCAACGTCAACAATACATTATTATGATTGAGCTCTAAGTAGCCTACTGTAAATGTGCCCTCGATAAAAAAACACCACAAATTACCGTAATAGTTATTTTCTGGGTGGGCTGTTTAATGACAGCCATTGTTCTCCAATCAGCGACGTAGTTCCTCGCATTGCTCACAGTTCGGTTTAACCCCCTGAATACCCACTTTTTTAGAGTGTTATACAAAAAATAAACGAGAAGTCAAAGCCTGACAAATTGGATAAGTAAATGTTCATAGTGTGCAAGGCAATATATTATCCTGTTAAGACTCATAAAAAATATATTGCTTAATATTGTGCATTGCTAAAACGACATTAAATTAAGCAGTTTGTCCCAACCTGATATGGTGCTCATGATTGGAGCTATCGAAAAACACAGATTCACAGTGGTGCAGAGTTATATGATTTTTTAAGCCAAACAAGGCCACATTTTTCATAATGTGTCCATGTGTTAGGGCAAAAAAAACACATGCTATGGGAGAAATTGTATGTGTCTGCAAGTCTATCGGTCGAATCACTTTCTTTAGGAATTGTCATTAAATAGAGTTGAATAAGGGCTCATTCTGTCTGGAATGCAACCAGACACCAATGGTATTGATGATAAGATATTTATAACTGATGACTTTGACCAAGATAAAAGTGCTGAAAACGTTCACCATACTAATCTTGATAATAAACGTTTTTGGGTTAGATCGCGTTATTATAAATGTGTCACAACCCTTCACCACCTGACACGGTCAATCAGTAAAAAATGTGTCACGTTAACAAAACTCCAATTAGTTACTTCCTCAACCCACCGGTGTGTTTGAAGAGTGAATCCACAACATTTAGAATTTTAGCACTATTATGAATAATGCTGGTCGCGAAAGCCTACGTGTTATACTAATCTTTTTGGATTTTCAAAGTTTCTTAACCCAATTCCTCTAATTTTTGAAGTTGAGGTTTGGGACTAGTTTAAATAATGAAAACAAGGTCCAGGCATATTCTTTGTTCTTTCGGTAAAGTCACATAGAAGGGAAATAATAAAATAATAAAACAACAAATATCACCAGCACGTGTCCTGTAGCCTTCTGCCAATGAGCCTTCAACACTTCATGTGGTCTCAATATGCACCTAGTCTGACATCACTGCCACTTATCAGAAAATGGCGGTTGTTGTTATTGTGTGTACATATAAGTATGTGGAGAGTGGTGGCGCAATCATTAGCACTCTGCGCTACAAAATCACTGATGCGAGTTTGAAACTCGGCCATAGCTTACATCAGTGGAAAGCGGTATCTGAACCGATCCTGACCAGCATGGTGCAGTCTTAAACAACCCCAAGACCAGCATGGCACAGTTAGGGCTTAATCCAGCAGTGGATTGTACAAATGGCTGTACATGTACACACAATGCGTGGTGATCATGCAGGCCCTAATATAATAAAGTCTCGTTGTGAATCAATATTTTTCAGTAAAGTTTTTGGGAAATCTTTGGCTAATTCCTTACAAAGTATTTTTATGTGTATGATAAAAACAAAATATGAAGAGAAAACCCTATATCGGAGGTACACTCAATATCCCATAGGCAGATAGGGAAAGATATCTGCTATAAATTAATCTCATACAGGCACCTCTCTGCCCTATAGGTGCACATCTCATGCACCGCATCTCCAGATGATCCACCACTTTCATCTCTAAATTGCTGAATATCGCACATTTCTGGATCACCTGACTTTCTCTAACAGACATCAACATGTCTCTGAAACCAAGACGGTTGTCGTTGTAGCAGAGCGAGCTCCCACCAACAGAAACTGTCTCGCAACGGCGGATCACTTCACCTGCCAACACCTACTGTATTGGTTGGCGAACGCATAGCACGTAATCGCAATGACCCGGCAGGTTTAATCAAAAATCGGCAACACCTATTTTGAGCCACCAGAGGCACCTCCAGGGCTGTGCCTTTCCTGCTGCGTGCGGGCAGGAAGGGGTTAAAGGGAGACATGCCCGGCACCCCCGGCTCCCAGCGGACGCCTCGTCCCATCCCACTTCCTCGCTTCCTGGGGAAGCCGTGGGTGAGGGGTGTACGGTGGAGCGCCTCTCCCGCAGGATGACTGCCACTGTCTCGCGCGCCGACTCCCCGGGGGACCTCTGTCTTGTGCGTCCGCTTTTTGTGCATTTTTTTTTTAGGCCTTCTCTCTCATTTTTCAATCGGTTTTATTTTCCGAGTTTTTTTTTATTTGAAAAAAGCACAGCTGCACTATGTTGTAGAGATCCAACAGATTCACTGTATGTGGTACAATAATGTTGGATTAAGTGGCCTGAAGTGGATTAAGTGGGATGTGGATAATAGAAGTGCCGTTCGGTGGGAATTTGTTATTGAATTGAGACACTGGTGCCTGCGATATGCTTGCGCGAGTGGTCTAGCATGGTGTGCTGACAAGGCATTGAATGGTTTGGTGTCGTCAGGTGTTTTACCATGTGGAATGGCATGAGAGCAGAATCTCTCTTACCTGGTCAATGAGGCTCTCCTGGATGCGATTGAGGGTTGTGCGCAAACGGTTACTGATCAACCCCAGTCCTGTTGTCTCGAACTGAAAAATGGACATGAAAGAAATCACATTAGATATATCATTATTATTACTGCAGTACATTTCTATTTACTACATTTATAACATAACATTTCAGACAATAACAATTCACGCCATCACTCCCCTCTCTCCCACCCAACACCCCCAGCGAGTTTATAAATTGTCAATTTAGGATTGAGATCGTAAATAAATAATTCTGATAATTTGCAGTTAACGATATAATTTCTCCATAAATATTAATAGCAACATTTTTATTTAAAGCTGTCGTGACTGCAGGGATTCATATTATTGGTTCTTTCGGTAAAGTCACGTAGAAGGGAAATAATAAAATAATATAAATATCAAATAATAAATTTATCACGACGTTTTCGACTGCAACACAAGCAATCATCATCAGATGTGAAATCCACAGCAAGAAAATTTGACTTTACCGAAAGAACCAAGAATATAATAGTAACATTGATTCTGCTATAAGTTTCCCCGTGATTAGCCACTTCGCCAAGCTATCATTTTTGGCCATGTCGCTTCTGAAACAAAGCCATATAGATCAAAAGTCGGTATTACCTGGTAAATAAAAAATAGTAGTTATAGTTTAGTTGAGAGCTTAAGAGCCGATACTAGTAATCAAGATGAGTGCATGCGTCGTTTCACCCCTAGTTTCAATGTCAAAATGAGCACAACTCCAGTGAAGAGCACTGTATATGCAGGGGATTTGGGGCACAATGTAAACATGCGCTGTGCTGTACATGCCATGTGCTCGCGTCCGAAGAATGTGTACACGGCGTACAGGTAGTAGTCGAAGAGCTGCGACATGTACTGTACCACGTCAAACGCGATTGGCTGCAGCACGCTCATCATCTGCAGGTACCTCCCTGCCATGCACATACAAAGACAAAGATCCCCCATATAGCCTTAACAGACTGTTGGGGCAAGTTCTGCTGGCAAGCACCTATGAAGGCCGGCACAGCACATGAGAGGGTGGGTGGTCAACACCATGCTGGACTGCCTTTGTCTTCCCAGCCGCGATGCTTACACACCGCACCAGGTAATAATTTGAGGCTGAGTCGACATAGGGGAGGCCTAGGACCGGTTTAGCAAATTGTCACTGGTGTTAGCAGTGAGCGGAAATCGAACTCGGGTCGCTGGCTTCGTAGCACAGAGCGCTAACCGCTAAATTACTGGTCCTCATGCACACACGCGCACACATGTACACACACACTTGTATTAAGCTGCGTCGACACCTACATTTTGGCTATGCCGCTCTTTGTTGCAAGTCAAGTCACAGTATCTACTCACTCAAACAAGTAAGCAACAGGGCAGCACACATCTCTGTTGGTAGCCCTGAGTCAATGATAGATATTCAGCATGCTCATGGCAGTGAGCAGTCTACACGATGACTACTAATGATGGGTTTTGTCAACCCCTGAATAGGATTTAATCTCACAACCTTTCGATTGTGGGTCAAGCACTGAAATAATATCACTTATAATTGTTAAAAACATAAAGCTGTATTGTTTTGGAAAAAGTAAATCAATGAAATGTGTAAATTGTGAAGTGCTGCTTGGTAGGGGTGTTCACAATCTGGTACTGAGATTCAAAAACCAGACCGTAACCCCATTTTTATATTTCCACTCTAACCTCTCAGGAGAGTGTACATGTCATAATAGAGAAAGATCCACTATTACTACATCAGTTGAATGCATTCTGTGTGCGTCATGGGGATTTTGAAACCACGCATCGCCATGCTGTACTGACCAGCATTATTTATATGGGAGCATAAATGTACAGAACACTGGACATTTCTACAGTGCCCTCTGCTGCTGACAACGGAGCCTATAACAACATGTTTGTCAATGGTGATCACCTATCCAAGCGCTATCCAGGCCCAGCACCTTGTCATCTGCTGAGATCTAACAAGGTCTGGTCGATTCTCGACGACTAATTCTAGATTTGAAGTTTTCGTGACTGCAAGGATCCATACTTTTTGGTTTTTTCGGTAAAGTCACGTAGGTATAAAATAAAATAAATTAAAATGAAAACAACTAAACTAATCACGACGTTTCGGGCGCAACACGAGCGTCCATCTTCAGGTGGGGACAAACACAGCGAGAGAACAACCGCTTAAGTATGCCTAAGAGATGCCTAAGAGATGGCATACTTAAGCGGTTGTGAAGATGGACGCTTGTGTTGCGCCCGAAACGTCGTGATTTAATTTAGTTGTTTTCATTTTAATTTATTTTATTTTTTACCAACGTGACTTTACCGAAAAAAAACAAAAAGTCTCGACGACTAGGTCATAGGCGCATTGCTAAAACGGAAACAAACACGGATACATTATCATCATAACGAATGGAAATCATGGACTTTTGTTACCATAATTATATATTTACCATCAAAATGTTTTGCTTTTTCTCAAAATATACATTCAATTTTCACCATCTGTCAAGGTATATTTATCTACATCGGAATGCACAGAAGATAGCAGAGCCACATCATAACCATATAATTACTTGAAATAGAACACTGTTCACAAAAAAATTCACTGTGTTCCTCTCAGCTGTGTAAACGAGAGTTTTACAATGTTTCTGCTGATTAAGCTTCTCCGAGGCAAGACTCGGCTATCTTCGAATCTGTGGACATTTTTTAAATGCGCCTTAAAACCTATTTATATGCTTCCGCTTATTAAACGTTTAGTTCATTTAGTAAATGATACAAATTTATATATATTATTTTTATGCTGAGTGTCTGCTGCTGCTGTGTCCTGTACGGCGCTTTGAGATCCTTAATGAAAAGCGCTATATAAATGCAATTATTATTATCTTATAATATTTGTGCGTGGAGCCAACAATGACTGGCTAAGACCGGCATACGCTACCAACATATGCAATACGGGCAGCCAGTCAGCTGAAGTGCAGTGATGTCGCACAGTGTGGCTCACTGGGATATGACCAAATGAGACAAAGTGAATTCGTTTCGTGGAGAATCCTAAACAGACATATAAACAAGTTCACATGTTGACACAAGTTCAATAATTATTAAAGGACGCACGTCTGACACACGGTGCATGGTCAAGGCCTGCACACAGGACCTGGCTGTGTGGTGTAGGTGGCCGGGTGCACCCCTACTTACCGAAGAGGCGGATGAAGTTGAGAGTGGTGTTGGCGAGAATGGGAGCGTTCATCTTGTTTAAGCTGTAGTGTGACTCCGATTTTCTTTTCACTCGTACAGAGTCCTTCGAAACGCTAGGACATGGGATGGAAAAGTGAATTTTAAAGCCGACCAGAAGGAAAATGAATTCTGTGTTAGCAGCAAACACGAGTTAGTAGGATAGGAGGCCAAATAAAACAACAAATATTGCCAGGTTGCCATACAGCACTTTTTGGGGTCTTGTTCAACATCATGAGCAGATTTTTACCCTTTGGTGCTTTGTCTATTAAAATAACGAGCAGCCAACTCACATCAAAGCAGTGCACTGCTCACAAGCTGCACATTCCAATCAGCAAACAGAAACAGTTACAATAAACCATCACAACAAATGAACCTTGTGGCAGGACCCCGGGTCCCGAATAAACGGAAGTCAAAATCGTAAATAAATCATTTATTTTTGGCGACTCCGTCCCACTGCGCACATGAACGCAGCGATCCACCTGGCACGAATCATTCTGTTGTCATGTCCATGCGCAGCAGCAAGGATGAATGTGCAGAAGAGCTGAACAAGCGAATGCACTCCATGCTCGGGTATGGGCAGGATCATAATAAGTAATATCCAAAGCTGCTCAAACTGCCTACACGACTAAGTACTTTCTTTGTCAAAACGGGATGCATAATACAGTGAAACTGCTCTCTTATCTTCATTATTATTTGTGACCTACCAATGTATGCAGCCAGGATCAATCGATGACAATCCTATTACCTGCAGATATTTAACAGACGAGATGCGTTGCACCGTTAATTCCTCCTGTTTGATAATACTTCTCTCGTCCGTATGCATCTGTGCAGATAGGTTTTTTTTGCGGTTAAGCCCTAGTTATTTGAAAGTTATAAATTCAAGTACCAAATAATTTAAAAGGATTACATTCTATACTTGCTACCAACCAGTTGCTGATACTTTAATACTAATCATTGATTTGGGTAATATAGACAATTCAAGATAAATTACAGCCCTCAACAGTTTCAGATTAATTTGCCATTTGAGCTATAGCCTTTACTTTCACGAAAACAACTCTCTTTACCACTGTGATCACGGTAGGAAGACTCGTCACTTCCTCCTGTTAAAATGGGAAACGAAGCGTGAGCCCAAGTGAGTCTTTGAGGTTTTTACAAGTAAACTACCAACGATCCCATTTCATTTAATAGCCCTTGAGTCAAACCCCAGAAACATAACATGTGCCTCAACATCCCTTATTTCAACCGCAATGATCCCGACCCATGGAGCAATAACGCATCGGCTTTATATCTAAAAACCATCGCTTGTTAGTTTTCAGTGGGCTACTGATTCACTGCTCGGACAATATGAACTGAAAAGTTGAGTCATCCCTCATTTTAAATTGTATCCAGTCCTCAATTTATGATCTGATTTACATTACACATTGTTTTTGTAATGCATTATGAAGTCGCATTTGAAATATAGCACACACAAAATTACAAATTTCCTTCAGTCTCAATGTACTCTCACCTGATGTTAAGTACAGGGGTGGCTAAAAAAAATGTTAACACTTCTGATAAATTGCAACAATACCACAATAAATGTGCCTCCGGGCTCTTCAGACAACCTGTTGTACAGCAGCTGCAACTGCAGGTGAGCACTGAGCTCACACGCCGTTGAGCAGAAACACGGTGGGTGTGCCGGCAGGGCGGAGGAACTGGGGCAAGAGTCACGGTAGACCTCTTGGCTCCGCCCTGGCCGCGCCGAGGGGAATATAAGCAGCGGAGAGCGAGAACTCCGTGCTGGCGGTTCTGGGATTGGACTCGTCTCGTCGCTGCCGCCTTCGTCACTGCCACCTTCACCCAATCATTGCACGGCCGGACAGTAGTTGGCTGTCCAGGTCGATGCCGTCGGTGCAACGTGGACAGGGTAGTGTCTGGGACGGGTCGTGCGGCAGCGTGGTCATGAGAAAGAGGGAGCCCGAGTAGTGGCGTGAACTCAACAACAATAAAAGGGGAGGACGGTACCTCCTGTGACTACTTCGTCTCCGACTGAGTGCGTGTGCAACGCACGTCACCCGCACGCACAAGCCTCAGGCGAGAACGATGAAGAGACGCACGACACTACACATGTATTGACAATGATGGCGAACAAATGGAGACTCTTTGACTTTTTAAAGCTATTAACATACATTTGTTATCATGTTACAGTGTTCTCTTTCCATCATGGGACCTCCCCCTTGCCAGTATCAAAATATAAGAATAGGTTTTACCCTTTCTGGCAATAAAACAGTTGTGTTAAGATGTTAAAACACCAAACTGAAACCTTTTGCAAGGAATCACGTCTGCAATAACCACATATACTTGTGGTGAACACGCAAACAAAACAACATGCTCTGATAGTATATGCATTGTCTTTGAACGTGAATCCTTGAAAAAGGTTTCAGTTCAGTGTTTTAACATCTTAACACCTGTTTTATTGCCAGAAAGGGTAAAAGCTATTCGTTCTTTTTGCATTGAAAACGATAGTTTCATATAAGTGTTAAAAAAATAATTTCTGAAGCACCCTATGAAGACCGATCTCAACATCACTTTCGCTTCGTTGCCCAACGATTTTTATACAGCCGCATAGTCAAAAGTGACATTGACCTTAATCTGCACGTACCGAAAGGCTACAAAACAACTACCATTCGGCCTGGTATAACAAGACCCTGTTTGGCCCGCCCACTCTCTACGGCCCACATTTCCATCACTAAGCCGCCCATATTGGTCACCTCCTGACAGGCGTCTCTCCAGTCTGCTCGTCCACAAAGTCCCTCTTGAGCTCGTCAGCAACGTCGCTGTCGCTGTCCTCATCCTGGTACGGACTCTTCTCTCCTTCTTCCGAGTCGTACTGCAAGTGCACACATCAGCACAAATACGCACGCGCACATGTAGGCACGGGCCAGCCATCAGCGTTATGGACCAAACTGCAGAACATGATGCCACATGCAGGATTCTAAACTGGCTCTTTAAGCTTCAAGGTGTTCAAATTAAAATATTGGAATATTTTGATTTGATTGCTGAAAGGATAAATCAAGACATCTGATTGTTATGCCCTCGTATGAATGGGTTCCTTCCAGATTTCCATCGACATGCAAAAAGTTGAACTTTGTGAAGTCAGACTTGTCTAACTTGGTGACAGTAAACAACGGCCTATCATCATGAAAACATTTATTTGAATTAATCAGCGTATATGACAAAAGCTAATGATAGTGACATAATGACATACATAGGCCCACACCCAAGGAGAGCTATGTACTGGAGGCATATTTGCACAATGTGCAGGGTTATACATATAAGTCGGTTCTGAGCACTGCATGAGAAGAGGCAAACACAAATCCCTGCAGCCGCTTCTACATTGAGACCCCCCAGTTCACCAAGGGTCTTCGTTTAGGTGAAGCTAAGTCACTGTAGGAGACTCATAGCCTGGGCAGCCTGCAGTGGGCCTCGGACTCACCCCGTTGGCTGCGAGTACGTCATCCGAGTCGTCGTCCTGGTCTTGCCGGAGACTCTCAAAGGGGTTGCAGTGGGAGGGGAAGCTTCCGATCACGGGGGTCGTAGGGGTGGCACCAGGAGTGGCTGCCATCTTGCTTGGTGAGGACGTGGGTACCAGTCCGACACCGCCTCCTCGGCCCTGTGCTAGGAACTTAAACTCCTGCACGCGCACATGCACAGCCGCGACCAACAGCGGCAGCTGCTTAGTTATTTAAAAATATATATATTCATCAAACAACTTCAGTTGACATTAAGCTTTGAACAATGTATTTTTTTACGCAGATTGAGTCAAGGGCCATTTCATATAGTGTCCGGTTTGTATATGAGGCCGAAAAGCCAATATCATATTCAAACTAAAATAAAAAAAATCCTGCTTACTTGACTGCTAAAAAAATATACACTGTTTCTGAAAATTAACTGAAGACAATACACATATATGGCAAGTAAAACAGTTTAAGGTTACAAATAAATACAGACAATACATTATAGTGTACTTGCACGTATACATTATCTCACTAGTCGTATTTATACAAAAATACATTTTTCAATAATATGATAAATAACATATATGAGATGAACGGTAGCATGGCTTTCATATTTTATTCTCAAGACTACAAGTCAGCTCCATTTGACAGGGCCCCCAATGCCATGCAGTTTGTTGGAGGTTATTTCATCATAAGTTGGTGAAAGCAGGGAAACATAGATGTGGTAGCATAGAAATTATAGCATAACAAAGGATTTTGCTGCACTGGTCCCTGCTTCCCACCACGCAGCCTGGCAACATCCAATAGCGAAATAATGTACATGCTAGTGGCCAATTATCCAGGCTCGAACTCTGCTTAGCTTTGAAATCTGATATTGACCAATTCTGAGATTTGGTCATAAGCCTTCTAAGGGCACTTTCCATATATTATAAGGTCGCACTCATTACATGCAAAGTGCTTGCCACAAATCAACCACAATACCTTGCTGATCTCATCAAGGAACATAAACCATCACGCAAACTACGGTCATCTTCGCTTTTGGGATGGTGGCAGGTTGGGATAGGGTGCTTGGCAATGAGGCTGTGGAGGGCACGATGTACTCACGTGCAGTTGGAAAATGCTGAAGTTGGAGCGCACAGGACACAGTTCCCATGCCTCATTCTCCAAAAACATTCGCAGCTCCTCCATACGAGTCCTATGAGCAGACACGAGACCACATTTAATCACGCAACCTCCGATTAGCACGGTTGGCTATGTACGTGCGAAAGAAGTTCAATATATATACACGCAACCCGAGTGCCAGAAACACAAAACAATTCCCAGTGTAGCCTGATGGACGTTAAGAATAATTAATGTTGGCAAGCCGTTACCTTGGCTGGTATGGTACACAAGGCGGGGATGTGGCTGATACCATACTCAACATTTTCTTGTATCCCCAGTGCTCATTGAAGATTACTTAAGCATGACATAGTATGGGTTCAGATAACATTGTTGTATAGAGCCGAGAACCAAAACCAGGTCACTGGGATTAAAGTATCATAAGCTAACCACTTCACGACCACTCCAAACACAATCACGATTACACACACAATATGCATAGGCACACAAACACATTCCTGCGGAGGGAGCTGGTAGGAACGTTGGGTTGCTCGGTCAATGGCCAGGGTCAACGGCGGCGTGGTGTATTCCGCAAATATGCCCGACTGTGAGGGCGGGCACAAGCCGGCGTATGTTAAACGTTGAGTTTTATAAGGGCACCACGGGGTGACCAGCCCCTCCCCTCCCCACCCAGCCCCACCTCTCCCACCCCCCACCCAGCCCCACCCTCCCCACCCAGCCCCATGCCATCCTGCCCACCCAGCCCCTCCCTGCACGACGGACGGACACAATAATCCCCTGTGGGCTGGTGGAACCAGTGGGTTCCTACCAGTATTAAGTGTTAGCCTGGTAGCACAAGAGACTGTTAGAATATCTAATTTCAGTGGTTTGCTGGGTGCAGTGGGCCATGCCTGTGGTAGTTCTTGAAATAGTTGAGGCTCTGCTTCCGGATGGACTCCTGCAGACCCTCTGACTTGCTGCTGCAAAACTCATCGCCAATATCCATCAACCTGAAACATATAGGTAAAAACTAAATCTGCATTTATATCTACGTGGCTGCAAGACCTGAGATAGGAATGCATTGTGCTCCTAACAGTTCACTAGATAGGTTAGAAAATTGAGTAAAGGCAAGCTAAAAATGTAATGATTGTTACTGAATGTATAGCCACTCCTTCAGAACAAATTCACAATGGTAATTGCCTTAAGAAGATAATTTCCCCCACCATGAGAATATACAATTCATGCCAATGGCTAAGAGCTACCGACACCCCATCACTCGTTTGAACAGGAAGATATATTTTTACTTTAACCGACATGAGTCCTGAATCTGTTGGGCGCTAGAAGTCTCACCGGTTAATGATGTCCAGCACAAATATGAAGTCGTCGTATTTAAAGTGCGCCAGGTCGGTTCCCAGGATATAGGTTTTGACCTTCTGCTGAACATCCTACACTCATCACAGAACAACCAGCACATGAGGACCCAATTCACATAAAGGAAAAACAACGTAACCGGATGCTTTACTACCAAAACAAAACATTACCCGCAACACCGATCCTGAAATCATCCACCATCTCCAGCCTTTATTTTCACATTAAAAGTAATTTGCAAGAAGAGCAGACCACCTCATTTACATGTCAGTGATTGAAGGAGACCAGTGAAAGAAGAGATCTGAATTAGGGACTTTAGCAGCTGCTGTTTTAGACATTAATGTTGGTTTTGTTCACATGAACAAGATATTCTATTGTTACAAATAAGAGAAACAGCACTCATGACATCTCCTAACCAAAGCCAAGTAAATGCCCGAGGTCAGCCTGGGTCGTTGTTCTACAGAGGTTTGGGGACTTGTTTGATAGATGCCACACCTGCCAGATACGAGTCAGGCCGTGCTCCAGCTTTTTTTGCACATAGCTGCGATCGAAGCATGGTTCTTCCGCCTCTGGGAGTGACACCTCACCTGCAAAAAAGAACAAAGATAAAGATCCCTTGTATAATTTTTTAAAGACTGTAGGAGAAAGTGCTGTTAGCGTGCACCTATGAAGGCTGGAACAGCACACGAGGGGGTGGGAAGCCAGCACCACGCCAGACTGCCTTTGTCTCCCCAGTAGTGATGCTTACACACCACACCAGCTACTCATTTGAGGCTGAGACAACCTTAGAGGGGAGGCCCATGAGATGGTTCAGATAATCGTCACTGGTGTTAGCTGTGAGCGGGAATCGAACTCGGGTTGCCGGGTTCGGAGCGCAGCACGCTAACCGTTGCACTACCGCTCACACACACGCACGCAATGCGCGCACACAAATGCACGGTAAGCAACAAATGAAGTCGAATGTTTTGTTCACCCAGGAAAGTCTTATGGATTCTATAAAGGTTAGCACAATATTTATGTTTGGAATGTTAGGCAAACTGTTGCTTTAAAGTATCTTTGTATCAGGAAGTAACCCAGAGTACACACACTTGTAAAGAAAGAATGAACCAACTCAAGGGAGATAAGTCACCGACCTATTGTATAATTTCGTTGTTCAATCCCAACTACAATTCGTCGTGTAATCTAGTCATTTGCATGTGGGGTTGGTAGATTAGAAATATTTAATCACGTGTTAAACAATTTACAAACGCCAGGGCTACAAAAGTGGCTTGTAGACAAAAGAACGTAAAATAAGCTGATAGCTTTTTGGTGAATACATTTTTGAGTGCTATTTCCTTATACACAGAGGCATTCTACAGGCACAACTGTTTCCCCATACATGCAAAAATTATCAAAATTTGGCAAACATCCCAATGCAGTATTTTTTTCTTCATAGCCCCAGATGATTTTCTGGTTATCTAAAAGATATGATCATCAGAATGTGTTTTTTAGATAATATTTTATATGAAACTAAATTTCGATTTAAAGCTTTCGTGACTGCAGGGATTCATATTCTTGGTTCTTTCGTTAAGTTACCGAAAGAACCAAGAATACGAAACTAAATGATTCTTTGTTGTGTATATATGTATGTGCTCATAAAATGGCTACAGAAATATATGTACAAGACACATTTTACGACCACAAATGAAAAGGAAAGAAAACCACAGTGTCGGCCATATCTGTCCTTGTTTCTTAAATGTGTAACACATGGCTTCGTGTCACCTTGTTTGAGATTACTGTAGTTTCCCAGCAACCGCAAGGACAGCCCCCCTTTATCCCCCGTGTAGAGGGCTCACTGAAAACAGCTGTTCTGCATCCTCTTGGATGCAATTATTGATGTTATTGTTTTGCCTCTGTAGTGCAGTGTATGAGATGCAGCGTGCGCATGGGGCGAGCGTCGAAGGCAGCCTGTGGGGGCTATGGGAGAGTTGAACTCTCTCGACACTTGGTCAGATAAACAGCACTAACAGAAGAGGCCATGTGTGCCCCAGCAGAACCTGAAATGTGACAGGCGGAGAAATAGAGGGGAGCGAGGAGGCAGGGCAAGGGGATGCAGAGATGGAGCGGGAATAGACACTGTTAGAGAATGAAAGTACGACATTACAGGGGTTGAAAGAGGGGGCTAAAAGCGTAATAATATACACATGCAAACAGGCGTAAATAATGAAGCAAACAGCAACAAATAAAGGGGAAAAACAAACGTGCATGAGAAATTCAAGAACAAGCAAAATGTTTCAAGTCATCCAGACACCGAGTTAAAGTGAGTACAAAATGTTAGAGGTGGTTAGTAACATTACAAACCTCTTGATGTATAATAGTAGATCTCTTTTCAACACTTTGTTTCCTAGGAAAGTATCGTTGTGTCTCAGTGGGCTTTCACGTGATTCTACAACAAGAATCTGCACTGGACACGTGTGTCTTTATTCTTTGATGAATAAACATACTATATATAAAATGCTTAATGACTGCAAGAGCCACAACTATTCAGAGCCTCTGCTCGTTGTGCAAAAAGAGTCCATTCTCATTTGACGATGTAAACCTCGGTGAAAATGTAGCTGAGTGCATACAAATGCAGTGTACGACTCAAACCAGACGAGCCATGGCACGGTTCATCACCGTGCAAAAAGGCGAGGCGATGCAAACACTGGCACCCCCTTGCGTTACAACGAGCAAAATGTTTATAAATGCAATGTGACACGGTGAAGGGGAGGGAACGCTTTTGCTCATAACATATGAACGACAGTGACATATGCCCTTCCGATATAAACACGTGTAAACTTCCGCTGGCAGAAAATAACAAAGGAGCAAACGATTAAATGCGTAAAAAGCGGTAAACAAACGCAAGCTAAAAAAAAAACATAAATATAAGAATAATAGGTAGCCATTATGTTTCCACTAATAAACAGGCGATGGGACAATGTTTATCTCTGTTGGTGGCTCTAAGCGAGTGACGAAAAATCCACATTCCCCTGGTGGGGAGGCATTCTCTCTGCAGGATGAACATTGATGACCTCCAATAAAGTATTTGTGATTTCGATTTAAAGCTTTCGTGACTGCATGGATTCATATTCTTGGTTCTTTCGGTAAAGTCACGTAGAAGGGAAATAATAAAAAATAAAAACTAAACATAATAAGATCAAATTCTCACGACGTTTCAGCCACAACGCAAGCAGCCGTCCTCAGGTGAAGAACAGGGCTATTATTTCCCTTCTACGTGACTTTACCAAAAGAACCAGGAATATTTGTTATTTTGTCGACCTTAAAAGGGTATGATGATGGACTGGATCAACTCCCGACTCGTATTTAAAGTCACGACCCTTTCGATTGTGAGTCACAGCTCCACCCAGCCTGATAGATACAAATCATGCAAATAACATTGAAGAGTCCCATGATTATTGATAATGGACTCGGGGGCATGAATTAATGTATTACTGAGCTTGCCAGATGAACAAATAGCCATGCCAGCTTGTCATACTGACACGGAGAGTGTGCCAGTGTGCATTCATAACATGATGCAAGGCGTTGCTATTTAATAACATTTAAAACCACATTTTGAAGATAATTAAGAAGCACACTTTTGACACAATTATTGTTAGAAGGCTTTCACTATAAATTGTCAAATGTGGTCTCTGAGCTTATTGTTTTCCTTGTTTGACTTTGCTCAGCTTTCTCTTGGTGTGTATCCAACTGAAGGTAAAAGCAAATAAGTATAGCATAGGATTCTACAAATGTGTGTAACGTGATATGGATAAGCAAGATAGATTTATCAGTACTGCAGGGAAGCTGCGTGGAAACTTGCGACTTGAGAGAAAAAACAATTAGTGAGCATCTCCACTCCAAAGTTTTTCAAGTTATCTGCGCTCTTCATAAGGCCAATTTCTTTTCACGTTCATTCTACTGACAATACTAAATTCTCACACAACCAGTGAGAATCAGCAGGGTATTTGGAAGTGAAGAAAATGTCACTTCAACGTCTGCTCGAATGAAAATGAAAGCACAGTGGGCACGCTATCGGAATGCGCCAAGAGGCACAAGGTGATACGAAGCAATTTCCCGGTGGTTAGAACGTTGTTCTCGAGGATTTATCTCACCTAAGTTTCCGCCTCACTGCTTGTTCAATTCCCCAGCGTGGTAAATCCTGAATTTGAGCATCACGTGCGCTGCAAACTAATAAGAGAGATTAAACGAGCGATTCTGCTGTATGGTAAGGGTGTGGGATGGAGGCTGCGAATGAACCTTTACACAGCATGCACTGTCTGTTCTGCATTCACCTGCTAAAAACAGAACAACAAGATTCACCGTAAACTTGCAAGAAAAAAAGAGAAGCATGAAATAAGCAACTCAAGATGGGATAATAATTATAGAGCCAACCACATTCCAGCCAACAATAACTTCAACAACAATTATGAGCAAACATTTTGAAACGTTAGAATAATATTAACATTATTAATGAGATAAAATTGTTATTACGAACGGCTTTAATTACAAATGCACTGATATTGAAAAAAAATGAAATCCGATGCCACTGCTGTTTAAATATGACAGTGAGTGAATACGTGCACGGCCACACATCACCACTGAACTCTGCACGAGTTCCCGTCAGATATTTGATATGTGCATTCAAGAGGCAACACGCCCTACCCTGCCCGGGAACAGTGTGGGAATTGTGGATTGGGGGTTGAGGGTTAGGGGCTGGGCAGGGGGCGGAGAGGATGGGCGATAGCTTGAAGGGATGGAACAGAAGGAAGTGACTGGATGCCTGATGGGAATAAGGGCTCAGAGTGGAAAGGTAATAAGCTTAATTTTAAATTGATAAGTCTGTGGCACTCCATTTAAAATCAAAACGGGATCAAATAATTTATTTCCCATGCACTCTTCCTCCTCCTCATCCACCGACACGGACACATCATCCTCGTGGATATTGCAAAATCGATAAAAAAAATATATACATCTCTAATGTGCTTAAAGCACAATTCTCTCTGGTGTCACAGGAAGCACATGCCTCGCCTGAAAGTTTAAGCACACGGAAGAGAGCGAGTGTCTGAAAGAACAGACTGAGCACGTTCACGGCCACGCCTCGACACAAAAGAATAATAAAAATGCAAAACTCCCCGAGAACGAGAAAAGGCAAATGATTAGGGTTAAAATCTCCACCTCCTCTTCAAATAAACACTCGACAAGCGAGGAGGCTAGGCTCTGCAAGCTGGGACCCCGAGGGGTCACACGGCGCTGGCCTTTGGGGATTTTCCCAGGCGCGGGCGTCTCTGGGAAATGGTGCTATCTCGTCATCGCTAAAACAAAAGCCCTGGCGCCGTTCTGGCACCCGGAGCAGCCAGCGGCCAAGCCTGGGGATGCAGCACGCTCGCTCGCTTGCTTGGCTCGCTCGCACGCCCGTCCGCTCGCTCGCTCGCTCATCCGCCCGCCCAGCGAGTAGGTGGTTAAGTCTGCAGGGAGCTGCTGCCAAGACAGCTTGGCTTATTGCAGTTGCAGTGGGCTTCGGTCAGCCACGAGACTGCATGTGCAGCGGGTGAAAGGGGCACTGGTATCA